TTTCAAGCCTAAGCGTTGACTTCGACAGGTCACAGTAAAGCAATTGCAACTTTACGTTCATGTCGACGTCGTTCAGCTGTTGGATTCCTCTTTGGAGTTCTTTGAAGTAGATCAGAGTGTCCGCAAACCGCAATCGCTTGACTATCGCCTGTTTATTAGAATATACGGTGTGTTTCCTGAAGATTTTTCAAGCGGAACAACGCACTGTTTTGAACTTAAATATCATACCAAATATTGAGTATACAAAGGTCTCAAATGTTGATCAAAACCGTTCTGGACTTAAGCGTTTATTGCTGTCTCACGCCACTGCCTATCAAGAACCGGGAAAAAAGTAAGGTGTTATAAATATGCGTCAGTGGCGGTAAAAACACGGGCCATGCATCCAAATTGCTGCTCGATTTTTCACTTTTTACGTCTGAGTTTCGCTTATTGATTGAATGTGTATTTCCGGTAACGACTTAGCCACTTTTTGACTGCGTCAGCAAGCTTTCAAATTGCAGTCAAAATTGAACGCTGGAAGCAGTAGTGAAATTTTTTTCGTCCCCAAGCAGTCACTTGCCGTCTTGAATTGTTGCCATTTCTGATCTTTCTTCTGCCAAGCTTAAATCGGCGATAGGATAAAGACTACCAAGATCATGATCCTCATCGCACTGTTGATATTCGCTGACTGCATGCAAGGCTGACGCGGCAAAATCCTCTTCCGATTTTATACGCCTTGAAACTCAGCTGATCTCTTCCGAACAGAATTTCGATTTTTATAAATGTGTTTGAAAAGCCGGCCAAGGCTGTATCATGTCCCCACTTCTGTTTGTGTTGTACATGGATAGAATAGTCAGCAGCAGCCAGTATGGTGAGTGCATCGATGTAGGAGATATGAAAAGGAAAAGATTGTTGTTTGCAGACGACCTTGTTTTACTGCTGAAACTAATCTTCCCTAGAAAGGTTGGCAGCCTAGTGCGACGGGACCGGCATGCGTGTGAACGCAGCTAAAACGAAAAGCCTAGTGCTTCCTCGTTCTTCTGTCCGTTGCTCTTTTCAGATTAACGGAGAGGCAGTGGAGCAGGTGAAGAAGTTCACATACTTTGGAATAGTATTTATTAATAATGTTAAATGGGAGGAAATGATTAAACAACGAATTGAAATAGCCAGCGGCGTTCTGGATGAACCATTCCGAACCGTTGTGACCAAAACAGAGTTGAGTCGTAAGACAAATGTGCCTGTGTTCAAGTCTATTTTCATGTCCATGCTGAAAATCTTCGATCTTGAGTACGAGTGGCTGAAATCGGCCTTCTGAGACTCATAGCAGGGATCACGCATCTCTACATGGTCAGAAGTTCACATGTCTGAGAGAGTCTTATTGTACAACAGCTGGTTCTCCAAACTGAGAAGTAGGAAATGTGATGGTTTTGGCACTTATTGTGAGTGCTTCCAGAAAAGAGGGCGAAACAGTTGCTACCCGCTCAACCAACGAGCAGAAGATCCCGAGGAAGGCCAAGAATCACCTGATGCCATTTTCTCCGCAGACTCTGGTCTAGACTTTGGCTCAGACTCCAGTCTCTGTTGAATCTGAAACGCCGGCATAGGATCAAGAATGTTGGAGAAACTGTCTGACACGGCTGGTTCTGCAATCCGTATGGATGAATGTTCGTCGAAACTGAGTGACTGACCAAATATGTATGCACGTATCAGGTAAAACTTACTTTTTCATCATAGATAATTGTACATTTGAGAACGAATACCTGGTCCTTTCGCTGTGTACCCATCCCCAATATTAAAGACAACAGAAATTGCGCTTCAAATTCCTAATTTTTCTGAATTGTCAAGAGATGCAAAATTTATTCAGAGAAAATCTCTCAAGGTTTAAATTTAAGCATGACTTGATATTTTCGATTTTGAGCCGATAGCTGAAACTGTATACAGTTTGCCAATTCATCGCTGAGAGCAACAACTGATATCAAACTAATTCATTACCTTCATAACGGCCATTTTAGTTATAATAAGGACACCGTCTGTGGTTCTTGTATTTCTAACGATCGAGCGGCATTTTATTAAAGATGAATAAGGCCACACTAGTGGTTAATGTCTCCGAAGCTCAACGGTTTGTGTTCGAATCAACAGTTATGAAGGCCTGAATGACTTTTGTCAGAGATTTTGCTGATATGAGCTGAGGATGTAAGAGTATGCATGGTCTGAGAGATCCTCATGTTGCTGAGGTCAATGTGTTTCAATCAAGGTTACTATACTCCTGTCTGCTGGAATGATTGAAGGATCGGTAACCGTGTTTGTTTGTGGTGATCTCAGGTTCGTAAATGAAGGTATTCACAATTATTCATA